CAGTTCGGCGTGTTCGAGATCGAAGNCTGTGATAGCCTGCAAAAATAAAAAAAAAAATTATTATTAAAGGTGAAAAACGAAATGCAGGGTTGTACGAATTTAGACAAATTATGGAACAAAAAAGGGGGCAAAAATCCTTCACGCTCCCAGCATTAGAAAAACAAAGTGGAAGATAACGGCGTGTCTCTTCTATTGTAAAAGGGCTGGAGAGATAAAAAAAAAGAATTGTACGTCCTATTGTTTTGAGATATCATATTGAGATTGTTACTAGAACTAACTGCTAAAAAAGCATTCGTCCAACATAAATAAATAAATGAAAAATGAAATTGTTAATCAAAAGTAGCCAAACCCGAAATCAGAGACTACACATTCTTCATGATTAGCCATGTTTCAATCGTTCCTACCATAACTTGTAAAATTCACAATAAAGCACCAATATGAATAAATAAAATATGGTCTTACCCCGATAAAGAGAAGTGCAGCAGCTACCCTGAGTATCATTTTGTTAGTTTATCTGTGTGTTCCGGTACCGTTGTGAGGATGAATGGACCCCAGATCCTCAATATATACCCTAACTTAATTAGTTAATTACCCTGCAGAGGCGTGAATATATTAAACAAATTCTCCTGTATTCACTCCTAACATTTACCTTTTTATGTATGAATATATTATAATGCCCCGAATATGAGAAGTTTGTGGTACGCTAATTGTGTAATTATTCCTTTGCAGCCATATTAGTTTTATTGAAAAGGTCAACTTTGACTAGGACTAATTATTGAAATGGACCAAATTCAGATTTGAATCTGTAAATCCAAATGAGGATTGAGTTTATGAGAGTGGGAGGGTAATTATTTAAATATCATATGCAGAATTATTCACAGTGATTAACCCATTTTCGACCACACAGGTAACCTCAATTTGCTGGACCATAGAATTTGAAACCAGATCTTTAAAAAATTTTGATTTTTTTTTTCAACAGGGTTCATCAATGGGTGATGATAAACAATTTCATCAAGTTTCGTCAAACTCTGTCAAGAACTGTGCCTTCTAGAGTGTTTAAAAGCTATCGCGTTTCCAAGAACAAAGGCAATAATTTATACTTTATAATTTTCCATTTTTACAATAGGGTTCATCCTTAAGTGATTACAAATAAGCACGCCATGTTTTGTCAAATTCTGTCAAGAATTGTGCCTACTAGAGTGTTTACGAGCTAAACAAAATTGTACGCGTTTTCAAGAACAAGGGCAAAAACTCATACAAAATAATTTCGATTCTTCTAATTTTCAAACGGGTTCATCCTCGGGTGATAAAAACACTCACACCAGCTTTCCTTACAATTCGTCAAGAATTGTGCCGTCCGAGCTGAAAATTGAACTCTCTTCTAAGACAAGGGCAATAACTCATTTTCTTATTTTTTTATTTTCAACAGTGTTCATCAATGGGTGATGATAACAGTTTCACCAAGTTTCGTCAAACTCTGTCAAGAATTGTGCCTTCTAGAGTGTTTACGGGCTA